GATTTTTTTTAATAAAAATTGAAATGGGAAGGTTATGTGTGCAAACTAATCTAATTGGCAGCGATCGCTAGCATCTCAACCCAAACTCAAGACGTGCTTGAACCTGTATTTATAAGCTTGACTAATTTATCTGAATACCTTTAACTCAATTTGATCCTATAATTTATATAAATATTTCTAACTCAAATTCAATCGAGCAAAATTTATATTGGAATAGAAGCTTTTTATCGAAAAAAGCAAACATAACTCGAGCGTATCTAGAGAACTTGTATGTTTATCGAATCAAGTTGTGCCTCAAAAAGCTTGGGCCGTCAAACTCGATCTCGAGCAACAATAAAAAAAATATATATATAAATCCCGATTTCATACGTTATTACTTGAACGCGTTCGACCTTTCACATCCCTAAAGACGTACAAAATTATCATGCTAATTTAATAACATGGTGAGAGAGTGATTTTAGCTAGGTTAAATCTTAGCTTTTCATATTTAGTTTTATTTAATGCTTTAAGTAATATAATACATTAATTCTTATAGCTTTATGGGTGTTATTGAACTCTCATATTCACCTTAATGTGTTCTAAGTCTATTAAAATTTAAAACGGATAACTATGTTATTTATATCATGTAATGAACTATTTTTTACTTAATGGGGGGTTTTTTCATAATTACAATGATAAGTAATCATTGTTATTTGATTTTCTAACAATCATTCTATATAATAAAACAGTAATAATATGCCAAGAAGGAAAAAAAAAAGTAGGCTTGATAAAAAAATAAATAAAATAAAAAATTTGAGTAGTCTTTTGTTTGGTAATTAATATTTTTTTTTATTTTATAAGATTTTTAAGATTACAACTTATAATGCTTGAGGAACTAGGAAGGTTTACAGATTTCTAAATTATTAATTGTGCCCGTACTCAAAACTTGTATTGTGGAAATTTGGGCTTTGGTAATACAAATTGGGTCTGTTAATTAAAACTTTTGTACATGTTGTAGGAATTTTGGGCATTTGCAGTACGATTTGGGGAAAATATAATTTAAAGATAAAATGTTGATGGGGCCTTTTTTGAGTTGGGCCCCGGCCAGGGCCGACCCTAAATGTGTTAGAACATCTATAAATTCCTATGAAACAAAATGGTTACATACATCAAATTTTAAAGAGCTATTTGCATTCTTTTTACAAAGTTAATAAATTATTTTGTGTTCTTTGTGTTCGTTTCTATCTTGAGTGTTCCAAACAATAGTATTGTTCACCGAAAACGAACAATATTAATTATTTACAAAAAAAAAAGCCAAACGTTTCCTTATTAATTATTTATAGTTTTTTATTTTATAATATATATTTTTTTTTTTTGTTTTTTGTTGGACAATTAATTTTTTATAAAACATTCGTTTAGTACACAAACGTTGTACTAATTAGTAATATAGTATATAAAATAGTATATTATTAATACATGTTTAAGTTTTACTTGCCAACCTATACATGTCTAAAGAAAATGTTTTATAGATTAATTTCATCATTGTACTCAATAAGGGAAAATCAAATTTGAAGAGCATAGTTTTCCAAATCAATGATCGACACAAGTTTGACACAACTTGGGACTCCGAGTTACCAATCCAAGTGATATTAATTGTTGAACTGTATAATTATTTTATAAAATTTTAAAATTATATTTATATTAAATTATTTAAATATAAATTTTAATCTATAGTCTTAGTAATATTGTATTTTTATCATAAATATATATCACATAACTATCATAAATATATATCACATAACTATAAATATATATATACATATTTTGTTATAAAATAAAAATGTAAAAAAAATAAAAATAACAAAAATAGCTAATTAATGACTCGACTCACCCGAACCGGTCACAATCCCAAGTCAACCTGTTGGTCCAGTTCGGGTCACAAAACACCGTTGAAGACTTCATAATGACACGAACATGCCACTGTATATATTCATACCAAACTCATAACTGAGGCTCCATCAAAAAG